GTTGTTAGGATACACTGCACCATTTCTATAGTAGGAAGCTATGATTGGAAGTGTCAGTAGCTGTATTTATCTCCATGGGAGTAGAAAGAGTAAGCAGGCATGCCTTGTACATCACAAGTAGGCAGTGCTTCCTTACTGCAGGAATATGTTTTTCCTCTCATGATTGCATCTTCCATTAGGGAGAAATGTTCCAAAATGGAGAAATCATTTTGGTTACAAGCAGTTACAATATGGTCCTTTAAGGATATTTCTACCAGTTCAAACTAGAAAGGCAAGTATATAATATTGTCTTTTGAATTCCAGAGAGGAAAATTATGATAGCTAAAGAGCTACCTTCCATGGCCCCTTTTACTGAGCAATAAGATCAAGCCAACAATTACATCTGAAAAATGCTATTAACTCATTTATTTAAAAAGTGCCAAGATTTATGTCTATTGCATGATTGAGTTTTAGTGTTAATACCTGTTTTCAAGACCAAACCCAGGAAGAATATCAAAACCAAACCTTTTAGGCAAATTAACAGCAGCGTGACTTCTTTAAAATACACAGGAAAGCTATGGAGTAAGTTGCAGTGGGATAACACCATCAGCTCTGATTTTGGACATGCATTATCAGCTGTTTATGCTGCCACTGGGAATTGCACCATCCTTAGTGAGACCTGTGTTTTACATAACTCTGTGTGCCCACAGACCTTCCAAAAGACCTGGATGGCAATATGTTGGTGTTTTAATATCCCAACAATGCTTTCTTATGAAGCAGGAGAAAGTGAAAGAGAGTAATACAGCTCTAAGGCTGTTCATGTAGAATTAGATCTCCCTTGCTTTGCTCATTGAGTGCCCTGAAACCCAAATCAGATCATGTATTACTGGGCTCTCATCTTTGTGACACAGAGGCTCCTTCATGCCTTCAACAAAATACTTCAGCAGAAATTATTCTATCATTTTAGTACATAAGAGGCAAATTTCTGTGTTTTGTGTCCTCAGCTTTTTCTGAAGGTCTTTTTGGTTATTTGATTTTAACCTTTTGGGGGAAAACGTAACAAGCAGTTCCAACATTATAGCTTTTCCTAGTTACCTCAAGCATTCCTTTTTTGAGGAGCTCAACTTCTGAGCATGGTGGTGTTGGAGGACTTGCTTTTGGACTGGAGAGCCTCCAAAAGAAATGGAAACCCCTCAAAAACAGTTATCTCACCACAGACTCACAGAATGGTTGGGGCTGGAAATGACTTCTTAAGATCACCTAGTCCAGCCCCTCCGCTAAAGCAGGCTCACCCAGAGCAGATTGCATAGAATCGCATCCAGATGGGTTTTGAGTATCTCCAGGGGAAGAGACTCCATAGCCTCTCTGGAACACCTGTTCCAGTGCTCATACTCCAAGAGAAGAAGTTTTTCCTCATATTGCTGGGAAACAGGCCTGACTCTTTACTAGCAGCCTTGTAGTTTGCCTGTGGTCATCTTGGAGACCATACTGATGAGACCACAAAATCAACAGAAATGAAAGGTGGGAAATGCATCCCTTGCCATCATTTAGAATTATGCAATAGGAAGATGCAGAAACATTTATCATTTCCAACTCACAGTTAAATAGCACTGACAAAAAATTAACACAATATGTACAAACCAAGTCCTCACCTCTGCAGATTCTGCATTTGGCTTCAGGCAAATAAAGTTGCCCTCCACTGTTAGGTGGCTTAACTTGCAACAAAGTTGCAGGTACTGCACCTGGTTGATGTCCTCAATATTGTTCCCTTCCAGGTCCAAAACCTCAAGGTGGTCCAGCCAGGTCAGCTGGCTCAGGTCAGAGATATTGTTATAAGCAATGTAGAGTTCCTCAGCAGAAGTAAACAGAATAAACATGTAAAGCATGGACTTGCACAAGTAACACCAAAGCTTTGCAAAATGTTTTCTAATACTTGAAATACTAAATGGATGAAACTAACAAGGAAGTGAACATTTTATAAAGTGTGGCTGTTGCAGCCTTAAATAACAAGTGCTAATTTAGCCATATACTGCTTTAGGCATACTCAGGATCGGACCCGAATGTTACACCTCATTTTAAAAAGCTATATTGTAGCATCTTTTAAACTAACACATGCAATTCAAGGCATCAAACCAAAGCCAGTCAGAAAAGGAAAGGGTGAGGAGAATGAGGACTAAAAGTAAAGAAAATCAACTGACGACAGTTCTGAGATTATCTTTTGGCAGGACACATCTATACTTACTTTTAGAGAGCTGCAGGAAGAGATGCCATCTAAATCTGAGAGCCCACACCGAGCCATCCACAGGATACGGAGATGGGACAATGAGGTTCCAAGATCCCTTATAAAAAACAATTCAAGCTCTATTTGAATGAGTGAAAAAATTCAAGACTTGCTTACTAGGCCACTGAGACTTCTTTCAAATCTCACATTGTTCACAAGAAATTCCATTAAAAACGTACACCCTCGAAAGTGAGAAATAAAATTATACCACTCTTTACTTATCCCACTGCCATCTGTGTTCTGGTATGACAACATGTCACCCCAGTTCTGTTTGATTAAGATTATTCCAAGAGCTACATCATGATAATTCTGCCATAAATCACAGGCAATTGCTAAGAATTAAGTGGGGTTTTCTTATGCTGGCATCATTGGCTGTACTCATATAACCCAAATTTACATATCTGAGCTGACTGCACGGTCAGTCTCACTCTGTCCCTCTTACAGAGTTACCTCTTTTCTGATTTTCCAGTTGAAAGGAATAACACTTTTGCCAAATAACATTTTTTGAATCAGCAGAAAATTATAATCCTTTCCATCCTATTATCCCACCCTTTGAGTGTAGCAAAATATCCATAAGGGATCATTTATATGAACTTTAAACCTTCTGGTCATAACCCAGAAAATCATACACTGACCTGCTTGAGTTCATGCTTATCTAACATCCCACTGACATTACAGTGCTGCACAATACAAAGATAACACAAAAAGGGTGGCAAATCAAACTGGGGGTTTAATCATCTGCCATCGCTGGTAACATTGAATTGGCTAAAGCCACTAGTCTACCATAAACAAAATACAACACTTTATCAAATCCCAAACCAACCAAAAGCTCAGAATTCTCAACTGTAGCCATGATGTCAGAGTGTCTGAATAATCAAGAACTATACAGTGGGTAACTAAATTCAAAGACAGAGGAGGTGGAGACCAGCAGGGAGTTCACAGAAACACAGTAATGGCTGAGTTGGAAGGAAGGTCATCTTGTCCAACATCCATACTCAAGCCAGGCCAGTTTCTCAGGACCACATAAGAAGCTAAAATAGTTCTCAGAATTTTGGATTAGCTATCTCTCACAATATTTATTCTTACAATACAGAGAACCGTAAGTTTTCTACAGGAAATTGCAGAAGACAGAAGTCATGGGGGCCCTTGTAATCTTGAAATATCAAGTTAGCAGTTATTGTACTCATGTCTTCTCTTTGTGGATGACAGGGAATAAGACCAGCCTTGCATTGCCTTCGGAGAGCCTCATGCAGCTTTGATACAGCTTTGCAGCACACCCCTGTAGTCAAGCTGCCTGCTTCAGGGATACTGGGCATCCAGCCAGTTCCAGAGGTCAGGAAGGACTGCTTTTATGAGTGGGGATAGACATATTCTTGTCTGTATTTTTAGTTGTTTCTCTACCATCTGAATACTTGGGAAGAACCTTGTCAGGAGAAAGGAGTCTGTGTATGCCTGAATAAAGGATGAGTGCAAGGAAAAATATTCCCAGGTGCCTCTCTTCTGTGATGGACCAAATACAGGGTTGAATGGAAGTTTTTAGGTGAAGCTGGGGGTTTTCACCCCTCTGCCTCCTAGGGATTGGTATGTCCATAGGAATCATTCACACCTATCTGATTTCATACTACCACTGCAGGGGCTGCAGGCATTGGGTGTCTCTAATTACCCCTTCCCTGGATGCTGCCCATTCAAATAAGATCACAACAGATGCACCACACAATGTGTCTTTATAGCTTTTGAGGTACAAACAGTGCATCTGACTCAATGGCCAGAACTAAACATAAAAAAAAAATCTCAGTCTCACTGAACATCTCTTTCCATCTAAGGCTAGTCTTCCCTTGAGGAGAAAACCCTCAACTGATATGAACCACAAGAGCTGCAGTGAATTTTGTGCACCCAGGAATCTTGCCTCTATAACATTAGAACAAAGAAAGCCGAATTCATATCACCTCATCCCCGGTCTTGCACAAGATCTTCCAGGGTCTATTTACATTGTGTATATTTTCTAAATAAAACAAAAACTGGTTCTAAGGCTTCCTTAAGGAACAGATGCCCTCCAAATTAATATTTACAGAAAATTTATTATTAGATTTGCAAGCTACATGCCTATAATAAGAAAGAAATTAAATTAGATTACAAAAGCAGAACCTACAATCAAGCAAGGCCAACACACCCATAAACACAAATATGGCATTAGGAATAATGTGAAGGGATTGCACTGCTCATTTCACGACCCTCCTCAAGCACTGACGAGATTTTCAAATTTTGGGCTAATTTTGGTGCAGAATTTTCTCTTCTGTAAACCACTGAACAGAGATAAAGGGAAGTAGTCACTCTCATTTTTGTGTCATTGAAACAATGTTTCTGATAGAAGCTCTGTTTATTAAGCCAGCAAAACTGAAGACAATCCTAACCTGATTACATATGGTAGAGTAAGATATGGTGAATGGACTTTATTTCCATTTTAAATTTGTCTTGAATTTTTAACTGAAGGGCTTTTGCCACAGAAGATGACAGTAATATGCTTGTTCCGAATGTCTCTATCAATATGAAGAATGCCGAAGCAAAGCAGAGGATTAATTCCCAAGCAATTTTTACATAGGGCCCCGAGAACAAACAGTTATTCCCTCTAGTCCTTGATCGCTCCATGCATTTGTGGAAGCTGTTTCCTGCTCATACTCTAAGACTTCCAGAGTTAAATCCTATTTCTCTTTGTCTGTCACAGTTTTCTGTTCCAGAGCTGACTGTGGTTAAACCCAGTGCACACAGACAGGGTCAGTCCATACTCACACTATGTGCTAGCTCATGCACAGCACACATTCACTAGGAATTATTAGCTCACAAGTCCTTAAAGCATTCTCCTGCTGTGCACACCATCAGAAGAGGACCCTAACTGAAATTACTTCTAAAGCCTACTTACCTTATTCTTCACAATTTGTGCTACTAAATTTAGTCTCAAATCCATTTCAGTTTCATTTATGGGTTGCAGCTCTGACTCTCCTACAGCCAACTGGCACCAGTCAGGAGTAGCACTTTCAAGGTTAATGCTAATCAGAGTTGATGGGGCTTTGTATTCCAGACAAAGGAATTACGTTGTGCATCCCATGTCTTGGGTACTTGCAGAAGGCAGAACCACTGCATGTTTGCAATGCAACCCAGTGTTTAATAACAGAGTCTTGTTATTAAAAAAATGCTTAAACGGACACTTCAGAATATAAAAAAAAAAATTAAAAAAATATGGAAGTTAATGGGAATGGTTTCTTACAGGGCTGAAGTTGGCTGTCCCAAAGCTCATCTTTAACTCAAGAAGCAAAATACTAAGAAAGGATGAACTTTGTTGCACTGTTTGGCATGACTTGGCTTAATTTGTCTCTCTTGCTTCAGGGAAGAGACTTAGCAGCCCAAGAAGGGCACTCCAGCTCTTATGCAGAGCAAATGACTGCCACCTCTCCTTCCCTGCTAATGTAGAGGCAGTGAGGAAAAGAGGCAAAAGGACTTTTTCCCCTTTGGGCCCTACTGTAGAACCAAATTCCTCTTGCTGACACTGGGGTCATGCTAGCTGCTAGAGGAGCCTAAAATTCTGGATCATGCAGTCACATTTTGGCCCTGCAGATTTTTACTCCTGCATCTGTAATGAGTCATCCCCAGTCAGAGATGTTATCACAGCAAAGTACATCTGCAAACATTTTATTCAGTAACTAACTAATCTTTTGGAAGCTGCATGACTCATGCTGCAGCATCAGAGAAAATTCCCTTGTTAATTACTGTAGAGATAATTGCCCTTGAGAGCATGGATGCTGTAAAGTGAAACAGCCATATAGCTCAAAGCAAGCTGCTCCTCACAACTGCACGCACCTGCATTTCTCAAAATTCTTCTGAAATATTTTGGCTGGGGAGATGAGAACTTAAGAGCTTTCAAGAGATGGGAGTGTCTCCTCTGGGAACAGTTCTAGAGCATCTGGCACATCCACCTTGGAGGGGGTGAGAGCAAAATGAGGAGTTGTTTGAGCACACATTACCATCACAGGCGTGCAAGTGTACACACAGGCATGTTTTCATTTATGTTAAGTGCAGAGGGTGAGATCAGCCCAAACTGAGGAGATACATCTATTGACCTTTATTGAAATGGAATTAATGGGAATCTGCACTCTGATAATGATTTACTAGGGTAGACTATTTTAATGTAATAATAAATTCTTAATAGCAATTTATCAGGCTAGTAAGAGAGAAAATCCACTGTAATTATACATGCAGCGTAACAGAACACTCCCACCCAAATAATCATTGACCAAGGCTGAAATTAATGAGACACATAAGAGATGAGGATTCTCCTGTACTGGGCATGATCATACAGAAAATTACAGCACCTATTCCAAAAACAGAAAGTAGGATTGAAAAGTTTGATGGCTGAAAGTAAAAAGATGAGACACTGGTCTCAAGGCTGGTGGCAGTTGGTCATATGATGCAGCACAGGAGTGCTCAGTAATGTGCAAACAGCAAAGAGTTTATAGAAGGAAAGAGAAGACACTGTAGAGGAAACACAGCTCTCATTAATACAATGAATAATGCCAATCCAGTGGAAAAGTGACCTGTCCCAAGTGACGTGGAAGCTGGGAACTTTACAGGAAAGGCAAAGAATTAACAACCAAAGCCATTATATATCCTGCTCACCCCTGCTATGCTTCATTCAAGACAGGTTTGAGGCAGAGAGATGGAGCATGGGGTGGGGATATGTATATCATAACATTTGATTGTGATAAACAAGAGGATTACAGCCCCTGAAGCTGCCAAACCAGAGTCCTCCTGAGTAATTACTCCACATGGACTCCTACACACACGCTTGCCTGCAAAACACACACTGAGTATCAGATCATGTTTTCAGTATCCCAAAGCGCTAAGAAATCAATATAGACTTCCCTAGTTTCACTTTTTTCCCAAAAATTTGCATTTATAATTGATTTTGATAAAATAATATTAATAAACCGAAGGCTTTGAAGCCTGAGTTCCAACTATCTCAAAATAACTGCAGCAGGGATGGGAACTCATCAAACAGCCCAGTGC